AACTTAGTAGTAGATTGTAAAGAATAACAAACTAGTAGGCCTCCTAGCAATTAAACATAACAATCATGAAAATAAGTGTAGAAGAATATTCAATACGCAAAATAAGAATTAAACAATAAGAAAAACTATTTAGATCTCATAATATGTGGTTCCGAGACTTCAATTTCCTTTGACCAAATGTAAAAGTTTAGTTACAATTCATGAATCTAAGAGAGAAATGATGAAAAATGGAGTTTGGAGGCGTTCTCTACGTTCTTCCCCTCATTCTACGGTTTTAAAATATGTATTTATAGTTGTTTCCATAGATAGTTGACTTAAATTCGAAAACTGGAGATTCGTCTATGAAAAATACCTATGGACACGCGATGTATATTTCCTTANCCATAGATAGTTGACTTAAATTCGAAAACTTGAGATTCGTCTATGAATATTACCTGTGGAGACGCGATGTATTTTTCCTTATGCACTTGCCGTTCATTGGTTTTAGGCTTGGTAAGTAAAATTCATGCCCGTGTGCGCGCGAGAGAATTTGCCTGCGCGTGCAAGTTTGTCTCTAAATAGCATTCGGTATCTTGGTCATAACTTTTTCCACAGGTATCCGATTGAGCTGATTCAAAATAAGTTAGAAAGCTAACTCAAGCTATAACTTTGCTTCAGATACCATCTTCCAATTCGATCGTTTACTATGTTAAAAATGGGTCTCCATCTGAGACTAAAAATTCGATGCATAACTTTTCGATTGGAAATTGATGTGTGATCCTATTTTGGCTACATTTCACCTCTTTGACTTCTTTCTTCATTCAATTGACTTCTAACACTCTCAAATCTTCATCATTTGGTTCGACACAACTTTTGTATATTTTTACGTTAGTTCTTGAACTTTCATTTCCTTTCACTTTGGTCCCTTTTCACCTATTTTTTTCCAAATTATGTCATCTCCATTGAATTGCTACCTAAATCAAAATATGTACGTAATGAGTACAATTTGGCATTGATTAATCATAGGCACACATAAAATAAGGAGGGAAAAATATATATTTTACATTTCTATCAGTGATATAAGGTTGCATTTTTAATATAATATTAATCATTATTCTCTCTAGTTTGATTCGATTTTACTAATTGCAGTTCAACACATCAGCAAATGCGAATTATCCTTATTTTTGATTGCTTCAACCTTTAGAGCTTGATTGGAAAGGATTAAAATTCAATTAAAATTGAAAATATAGCCGTTATTGGGTCCCACTTGTCTAATAAAAGTAAACTCCAACGACTATATTTTCAATTTTAATCTGATTTTAATACATCCCAAACAAGCTCCTAAGAATCAATTAAGTTAATAATCTCTTGTCAAAAGTCTAATTCTCTCAAATGAGTGTTCGGGGCTTAATTAAGACATGTATGTTTTTTTTTTTTTAGTATTGTTCAGACTCATCTCCATTAAGCTTTCTAAATGACCCTTGTAGCGAATTTTCAGCCGATGACTCCCAAATCA